ATATATAGACACATATATATATATATGTCTATATATATACACGTATATATATAGACACATATATATATATACACACACACACATATATATATATATATATATATATATATGTCTATATATATACACGTATATATATAGACACATATATATATATACACACACACACATATATATATATGTATATATATATATATATATATATATATATATGAGAGTCACAGGAACTTGTTTAGGGCATTAAAATGAATTGTAAAGGTATTAAAAAGTAACTCAATCCTGTATAAACCCTGCGAAATGCCCTTTAGTTTGGGTGGGGGCGTGTCTTGTTGTAGTGGGCGGGGCTTCCCTCCATCCTAGCCCATACACAGGAAGTGTAAACAGAAGAAATGTTGGTTGATGATCTGTAATTTGTGGATGTTGTTCAGGCGAAGGAGCTGGAGCTGCAGCTGATGGAGCAGATCATGGAGCAGCCGGACCTGCAGGCTCCGACCTACCGGCAGTGGAAAGAGTCCAACCAGATCCTCCTGGAGGACATCCTGCAGCCCAGCCGGCCAGCAGGGGGCGCCGCCAACCTCGGCCCAGAGACTTCAGATAATTAGCTGAAGGAGTCATACTGGAACAGAAGACCGGACTGAGCGAGTCCTTAAAGGATTCTCTCTCGCTCAGGTCCAGAACCGGATCCATCCGGTTCGTCCACAGGGACGGCCATGGACATCCTTCCCAGCGGCTGGGCCAGTAAACCTCACAGCCAGACCAGCAGGTTGTTACTGGTTGTTTCTTCCAGGAACGTCTCAGAAGTTCATTGGAAGGAAAAACCGCTTCAGGAAAAACTGAGAAATCAAGGTTCTGGATTCCAGGAAGCACGATTTCCAGTCCAGGATGTCCTGGTGTCCCTCACCTGCTGGTTCGGCCCACTGGGTTCCAGCTCCCTGGTGTACCAGGACATCCTGGATCACTTCATGCTTCGTTCTGCTGACAAGTTCTATAGAGACTCTGCAGGACTTGGTACCGACCCAACCTGCCAGTGGTACAGAAGCTCCTTCAGTTACCATGGTAACTATGGCCAGGATACAGGTCACCATCAGAGCAACATGGGGTCCATTGGACCTACTTCAAGCTGCATTGATGGTACCGAACCCGGTACCGAGTCCAGAAACGAACAGGTCCGCCTCCTTTCACTGGCCCGGTTCTGGGTTCTGGGTTTTTATTCTCTGTTTCCAGAATCTAATAAAGACTAAAAGTTTACATCTTTCGTTTCTAGAAAGTGGGTCAAAAAGACAGAATTTTAAGAAGATATAGTTTTTTTTTAGAACTGTCCAGCTCATACTTCAAGTTCTAGTTCTGTCAGACCAGCATACCTTTGGTCAATACGCATTCGCAGAACGTCAATTTGCTTTTATCCAATTAGTTTGGTACGAAAAATAGACTTTAAACTACCTCAACGGTCGTGCATCCCTTTAGTGACACACAAAAGTTGTTTGAACGTGACTAAAGGGATGCACGCCCATTACGGTAGTTTAAAGTCTATTTTTCAAACCAAACTAAAGGGATAAATTAGACCCGAGGTCACGGATTAGTGGACTAATCCAGGCACAACCAAATTTAAAACATTTATAAATTACCGCATGTTGTCTGACAACAGTGTCTAATTTCACTTGCGCCTCTTCTCCTGTTAATACGGTAAAGCCCTCCGGAGCGTCCGGCTCCAGGCTTTTTTTTTTTTTTAATCTTATTTCTATTTTCTTTTTTTATAAAAACAAAATACATGTTTAGATTTAGATAAAAAAATATTAATATTTAGACATAGAGTAAATAGGTTAAAGATTAATCTTTTAGTTTTTTTGGCACTAAATGTGAGAAAAAAAATATTCAATATAAAGAAAGTTTATTAAATGAAAGAAACTTAAAAATTATTTTTGCTAAACTTTTACATTCATAATAATGATAATTGAAATATATTATTCTCACACTGGAGAACCCCCCCTCTGCATTTAATGGGAGCAGTGTGGGGTTAAGGGTCTTGCTCAGGGTCCCAGAGTGGCAGTCTGTGGGGTTTGAACCTACGGCACCCAACCGCAACGCTCTAATGCAGACGTCAGGGATTAGGGGACCCAACCTGATATAAAACATTTATAAATTACCGCATGTTGTCCCACGACAGAGTCTATTTTCACTTGCCCCTCTTCTCCAGTTAATACGGTAAAGCCCTGGGGAGCGTCCGGCTCCAGGCTGCACGTGATCCAAATGAGCCAATGAGCTGTCAGTCTGGGTTGCTGCTGCTGCTGCTTTTAGACACAGCAGGCAAACCTGTGGCAAGCCGGGCGATGGGAAAGAAGGAGAAGACGATGAGAAAAAGAGAGCAGAGAAAGTGTGGACTGCTGGAAGAACTGCGGTGAACTGGTGAAAGAAAAGTGAAATGGCGTGCTCAAAGATGACCCTGCACATTTAGAGGATGTTTGGCTCAACCTGCTGCTGTGAAGCAGGATTCTCCACCATGAACAGAATCAACAATAAATCTGGATCCAGGCTCAAAATGAGCTCCTTGATATGTGCTTGAGAACGGCTTAGTCTCCGGTTAAACCCAGGTTTAAAGCCTTGCAGGGCAGCCTAAAGCCCACTGCCAACATTAAGACAGAAAACAAGAAATAAACGATGAGTTCAGGGGTTTGAGAAAATTATCTATAAACCAAACTGAACGATTTTTCTCTACTTCAAAAAAAGTTTAGATTTTAAAATAGAAACATGCTTTATTAATGTTTTGTATTTAAAAATTCAACGTATAACATGGATGCATAAAAACCTCATTTTATTTCAGTGTTAAATTCTGTGACAGATTTTAATTAAAAATGTCGTTGCAGCTTTACTGGTTGATTATTTTCTTTATTCTGACCCACTGCTTCCACCTGAACCACAGGAAGATGCCTTAAACTTTAACGCATTTAAAGCTCTTAACATTTGTGGTTCTTGTATCTTGATTAAGCTTGATTCACTAATATTGGTCCATATGAGGCAATAAAAGATGTTTCCTCTCTGTGGAAACGGCCGAACATTAGCTGCCTTTACAGCCGTCACTCAGGATTCCCCATGGGGGGCAAACAGACCATCCCAAAATAATAGTTCTCCTTTGGTCGCCTGGTAATGGAGAACCGTTTAGATTAACAAGATTCTGTTGAACATGAAGCTCAGGGAGGCCATGAAACCAGATGTGGGGATAATGGTTGACCTTAAAGGTAATAGGGAAAGCCCTCAGGTGATTTAATCTGGGTTTAAACAGATTTGTTAAAGCCGGGCATACACCGTATGATTTTATCCTTCCAGAAGAAATTTAAATCAATCCACTGAACTTTTTTCCCCACGTTTGAAGACGTTTCTCTTCCCTGATGCGACCTGCCTGCTCACACTGTACGTCTAACAGGGTTCCTACAGCATAAGGCAAGTTAAATTCAAGACTTTTTAATTCCACTTGAAATAAAAATTTAAAGAAACAAGAAAAACCTGCTTGCGACAACTTAACCCAAAGGTTTATTTTAACATAAACCACTGCACTAATGTTTCAAATTTTGAAAAGCTTCCCATACAGGAAGAAAGCTAAAAACACACAAATGACAGATATATTTGAACAATTATTTAACTGAATTCACAAACTTTGTTTTAGCAGGGAACAAAACAAATCAGTTTTAAAGCCCCAACATAACCAGTGCTAAGTCTTTTTAGCAGCTATTTTTCTTTGTATGGTTTTCTTAGTATGTTTGATTTGGTGATAAGTGGAGGCGTTGCAGAGACAAGGGTGGAACTAAACTGAGAAATACCGGCTGTTTCTCTCTAACTCCATTTTGACGCTTTGTGTTTCGTGCTTCGCATGTGCGACTCCACTGCCTTAATTCCCATCGTTCTAAGCTTGAATGACTTCTTGCATAAATCCACTGAGCCTCATGTATGTTCCCTGGTTTTAGCCATGGAGAAAGCTCTTTGTTCCATTTACACTTACTCAGATTTTCCAGACAAAAAGTTAATGGTGCATCTCCCAAATGTCCCGGCCGCAACAACGCTTTATTGATTCCGCTATCGGGACGGAACCAATAATGGAAAACAGTTATTTATTTTAAATAAAAAAAAGGTAAATTTTAATGTTTTATTTAGATTACAAAAATGAAACCATAATAAAAATAATCCTTTTTATGATGTTTTAAAAATTAAGACCTACGAGAGACTGATTTAAGACATTTTAATACCAATTAAGGCCTTAGTTTTATTTTTAAGAATTCAATGCCTTTTAAGACTTTTAAGGACCCTGTCTAAAAAGTTCTGCTGCCCCCCACCATGCTGCTGTGTTTTCCAGAGAGGAAGAAGAATCCTTGTTTATTTATGCCCTCTTTAAGATTATCAACTTTGGCCCACAGGGGGCGCCAGAGTAGAACCGGTAAACAGCACAAAGGAGCCAAACTGACGGTGAACACATTTATTCTGTCCTGCGCATTTACAGCTGGAATTCTGGGAATTCAAACACAACGTCTTTCCCTGTGAGCTTCTTGTAGACTCCGGAGAAGGTCTCCACCTGGAACAGAGGAGGAGACGGATCAACGTGAGAACCAGAACCTGGACAGGACAGCATGGTTCACAGCGGCTGGAAAAACCTCCGACCAGAACCGGAGTTCTGCTGAAGGTCTGTGTCCTGCATGGTTTAGCTCCCCAGTAACGGCCCAAAGGACTCTGGGAAGGTGTAGGAATATACAGGAAGCTCGTCCTCGCCGGCGAGCAGCCGGGGACGGAGCTTTATGTCCGACACCGTGGAACGGGAATGGACGTCCGAGCCGGAGCTACGCTCCCATACGCCACCAGGACAGAGCCAGGAGAAGGACTCCTGGATGTCCATGTCGAAAAACTCATCCTAGTACAGTTGCTATGGTTACGTCCTCCGTAGCCATAGCAACTGAACTGTGATCAGCTTTAACAATCATCACTCAGTTCAGGTAAATTTCAGGATTTTCTCAGGTATGGAAAAATGTGGGAATCATTCACCATCCAATCAGGACAGGAACATTGATTAGAACCCTGGTTGGCTGTAGGAAAACAGCCTGGAAACTGAACCCAAACATATCCAGACCTGGAAAACCTGGAAAAGCGCCAGTTGGATCAGCCTGAGACAAGGAAGCTTCTCTGAACAGAAACTCACTTTGTGTTCCACGTTGTTCTGCTGAGCCTTGTCCAGGTGGACCTTGATGAGCCGGCTGCTGTCCAGCTTCACTCTGATCCTCTTACCCACGATCTCGCTCGGGAACACCAGGTCCTCCAGGATGGCGTCGTGGACGGAGGTCAACGTACGGCTGCGGGACGGAGAAACCGTTAGAGTTCTGACGGACTGGAACCAGAACCGAACAGTTTAAAACCAAACGTTCTGCTGAAGGTCTGTGTCCTGCATGGTTTAGCTCCCCAGTAACGGCCCAAAGGACTCTGGGAAGGTGTAGGAATATACAGGACGCTCGTCCTCGCCGGCGAGCAGCCGGGGACGGAGCTTTATGTCCGACACCGTGGAACGGGAATGGACGTCCGAGCCGGAGCTACGCTCCCATACGCCACCAGGACAGAGCCAGGAGAAGGACTCCTGGATGTCCATGTCGGAAAACTGGACTCAGAAACCAGAACAAGAATTCTGCACAGAAAAGAATTTGACATTCGCTAAAACCAGGAAGTTTGGTCCGACTTCTGACCAATCGCACGCCTTCCTGCAGAATTCTAAACAGATCTGTAATGTTCCTGTCACCATCTATCGGCTCATTAACGGAACCAGAACCAGAGCGGTCGTGTTTTAGGAGACGATAGCGAAGGTCATCGTCATCTTAAACAGCGTCAAATGGCTCAGACTTCGCCGACAGATCAGATGTTGACATCACTGGTCTGACATCATCACTGCACATGCTCAGATCAGCCTTGAATGAACCGATCAAACGGTCAGTCACCCACAGATACAAACAGGAACCTTCCTAAAGGATGCGACTAAAGCTGAAGTGGGATTTTCCTGCAGCGAGAGAAACAGGAAAACCAGGAAAACCGGAGCGCTCCTCTCCAGATGTCCCGGAGTTGACGGGAGAGCAGACATTCCTTCATCCGGTACATTCAGACTGAACCATCCTCCTTCCTGTTTCTGATGGGACAGCAGCTCCAGGTCCGACCTGATCCAGGGCAGGACGGTTCTACTGCTTTATGATCATAGCGATCCTGCTGGGAATTTTTATGGACATGTTTACATTTGAGGTAAGAAATCGTTTTCCTCCATTCCAATCGGATTCTGAAGGAATGACTGTTGAAGTCTGTAGACCTTGGAGCTCCGCCTACTTTCAGGTCATCATTCCTTTCATAAACTCGTCTGAATGATGAGTTTATGACATTTAAAAACAAAAAACAGCAGTAAAATAAAAAATTAAAACTAATGTGTCCTTAAGTTTAACCATAAACTCATCGATGATCAACATCACCATCATGTTCTTCTCCATCATCTCTCCAAACAGCCTTGATCGGCGTTAAATATCGGCTGGAATCGGTTCCGATCCACTCACCTCCTGGGACGCTTCTGCTTGTTCTTCGTGCGGCTTTTCCTGGTGGGTTTGGGCAGAATTCTCCTCTGAAACCAGAAACAATACGGAATTAATGAGCCAGAACCGAACCAGGAAGTTCTGACAACATGAAGGTCTGTGTCCTGCATGGTTTAGCTCCCCAGTAACGGCCCAAAGGACTCTGGGAAGGTGTAGGAATATACAGGACGCTCGTCCTCGCCGGCGGGCAGCCGGGGACGGAGCTTTATGTCCGACACCGTGGAACGGGAATGGACGTCCGAGCCGGAGCTACGCTCCCATACGCCACCAGGACAGAGCCAGGAGAAGGACTCCTGGATGTCCATGTCGGAGGTTCATACTGATAAACGATCAAGGAGCTTCTAGAGATGCAGACATCTGGGTATCCCAGAACAACTGGGTCCCATCAGACCTGTAAAGGTTCTACCTGAGCAGGAGATCCACAGACGCTAATATTAATGAGTCTTTCACCAACTGCTGTTGATTTTAATATTTAGTAAATTAGCCGAAAAGGTTAGATAAAAGCATTTGAAGGAGCCGTCCGTCACCTGGAAAAGCAGGATTATTGGTGCCGAGCTCCAAAAAAACCAGGATTCCTACATTTTAAAGTTAAATTCAATACATTTTAAGATCTAAATCCACCTGAAATAAAAAGTTAAGACCAACTTCAACATAAATACAGGGGAAAAAAACTGATAGTAAGAAATCTACCCAAATGTTTAAATTTAAACCATCACTTTCTGGCTCAGTAGAAATGATTCAAATACTGAAAAAGGAGTAAAGCTAAAATAAATAACTGTGCTTTGATCCCATCGTTCCTCATCTACATTCCCTGGTCCTGCTTTTAGCGGCGTAACAAACTCTGGATACACAGTTTTCCTTCCATTTCTCCACGTTGTCCTGATGTTAAGTTAGCGCCGCATCGCCTACGGTCCGACAGTCGTTTTTACTGGTTCTAGCGAATCGCTCAGTAGACGAAAAAATAAAAATCATCAATTATTCTATCGTTTGATTCGGATTACAAAAATAAAATCCTATTTATGAGGCGGAAACGATTTAAAGACAAACGAGACATTTTACTACCAATTAGTTTCCTATTGAGGAATTAAATGAATTTTAAGGAACCCAAATTTCAGTTTTATTTTTCCCCACACACTTTGAATGCATCATAAACCGTCATCCAAACAGAATTATTTTCTCGCACTATACAGCAACCGCTGAATGAAATATGGCGACAGCAGCGGTCTGGATTTCAATCCAAGGATGTCAAACAAAAAGCGCTAATTTCTCAGACGTGCCACAAAAACCGCTGCAGCAAAAGGAAGCAGAAAAATAAATTCACTTTCTAAAAACTGAAAACAAAGAACATTGTAAACTCTGCACATCAGGGAAATCAGACGCTATTTCAATGTTTTGTTATTTTAGATGCTCCAATACCTGTGATGTGTTGCTTTAAAGGTTTTACAGGCGTTTTCTAAACAGAAAGAGGCCGAACAAAGTGGTGAGAAAGGCTGTTTCTGTCCTAGGCTGCAATCAGTGGCTGAGAGGAGGGAGCTGTCCAAGCTTCCATCCATCATGGACGCCACCTTCCACCCTCTGCAGCAGCCTGGAGAGGAGCTGAGCAGCTCCTTTAGCCAAAGACTTTTACAGGCTGGTTGGAAAAAGGAGCTACTGCAGGTCATTCATCCCTGCTGCCACCAGACAATGAGACACTACAACCGCAATAACTGCTGCAATAGAGAATAATTACTATTTAATACCTGAGCAATAACCTGTTTCTCTATATCTGAGAAAAAAAAAAGCTGTCATATGTGGACACACTGTATTTATTAGGGGTGGAACGGTTCAAAATCCATGGTTTTCGGTTCGGTATATGTCGATCGTTACCCCCAAATCCCATAAAAATTAATCAAATTAATGAAAGAATCCCAAAAAATGAATGGATTGTAATTATTTTTAATGATCCACGGAAACCCTGGATCATTTCCGTATGTTTTGCTGCTTTGAATTTAATCATCTGGCGCATGCTCTCTACGATCTCCAAGGAACTCAGAGCGGAGCGGACGGGAGCCACAGTGGAGGCTGTAGGCTTTGCTTTGAGCAGCCGGTCTGGAGCGCAGCGGGGCGGAGCGCTGACGGAGTATGAGGGATTTCGGGGTTAGCATGACATGTTGCTGTTAGCATAAACAAAGCGTGTTGCACAATGCTTGCACACTGTTGCACTTTTATCCCCAGCTTTCTTTCCGCCGTCATCGTAGGTCACTCTAAATGCAAAGTGGTCCCATACAGCAGACCTATAAAGTGCTGCTGGCGCGTCTTCCAACTCCTGTTCTTTCCCACTCGCCATACCCACACAATTCTCCACAACAACTGATTTTTTTCTGCTACACCCGGCTATGCTGCTTCGCTTCTTCTTCTTCTTGTTTACTACTGGTGGTTGGCTTTGGTCGCAGTACCGCCACCTTCTGCTCTGGAGTGTAAACGCTTCGCCTATGAGAAAAAGGAGCAGCGCATGAACCGAACGAAACACACGCGAACCGAACCGAGACGGTCGAACCGAACGGTTTTCATAAACCGTTCCATCCTAGTAAATATCTCCACTGTGAAATTAATCAATGTGCTTCTTAAAAATTACCAGCATGTAAAGATCAATGCAAATAGTTTGGAGACGCTCTGATCTTGTTTTTGTAATTTGACATCTTTTTTTTTCAATTATTTTCCATTTTATTTAGTATTGTGTTTTTTGCTTTGTTTCCTGTTTGATCTGAATAAAATAAAATGTTTTCTATTTGATACCAAAGTTTGAATGAATATATTTATGGTTTTTGAAGGTAATTTTAACATCTCTTGATTATAGCCCAAATATAAATCAGATCTTCATATCGCCAAGCCCTAGTCTGAAGCATATTACTGCTTTTGTGAGGACCTTTCCATCTGAGACATACAGTTTAGAGCCAACAGGAAACAACGCTTCTGACTCTGCTGGATGCTTTTCTACAGCATCTAAACCTCTGAGGCAGAAGGACACAGCTATTGTCTGAACTGCTGCTTCATCCTCATCACCTCGTAACAGACACCTCTCTGCTTCTATCTGACTTATCAACACGCAGCCTCTGCAGATGCCGCCTACTTCTCCCCTCTCACCTGTGCAATGAAGACCACATGCTTCCCGCTGAACTTCTTCTCCAGCTCCCTCACCAGACGCACCTGGATCTTCTGAAAGGACTTAAGCTGAGGAACAGGAACGAAGATGATGATGGCTTTCCTGCTGCCACCAACCTCGATTTCCTAAAACAAAGATAAAAGTGAAGGAAGCAGCTTCCAGGACCGTCCTCTCCACCACCAGATGATCAGAAACAAACATCAGAACATGAAGGTCTGTGTCCTGCATGGTTTAGCTCCCCAGTAACGGCCCAAAGGACTCTGGGAAGGTGTAGGAATATACAGGACGCTCGTCCTCGCCGGCGAGCAGCCGGGGACGGAGCTTTATGTCCGACACCGTGGAACGGGAATGGACGTCCGAGCCGGAGCTACGCTCCCATACGCCACCAGGACAGAGCCAGGAGAAGGACTCCTGGATGTCCATGTCGGAGGTTCATACTCATCAGATGAGCTCCTACCTTGGCTGCTGTGATGTGAAGTTCTCTCAGCTGAGCTTTCAGATCAGAGTTCATCTCCAGCTCGAGCAGAGCCTGAAGAAAGATCCAGATTACAGATTAACACCAGAACCACAGCTATGAAATGAAGCAGGATCCTGTGGATCTTAAACAAGCGGGTTTTTCCTACCTGGGAGATCCCAGACTCGAACTCATCGGGCTTCTCGCCATTGGGCTTCACGATCTTGGCGCTGGTACTGAACATGGCCTTAGTCTCTGCAGAAACAAGAAGACATGAGGTTCAAATAAAGGTTTCAGGACCAACAGAGAACATTTAGATCTGGCCCAGAACCCATTAAAAACGAACCAGATCAGATCAGAAGTCTGTGCAGCTAAACTCTGGTACTTAAATATTTAAATCTGACCCAGACTGAAAATAAAAAATGTTTTCAGAGCAGACTGTACTGGTCAGAAAGTTTCCTCTGGTAAATGCTAACTGGTTTTTCTTTCCCCTCCAGCGGTTAGCTATGCCATGCTTGGTCAAGCTTCCCCCTGAAGGTCCAGTAAACTGGACCCAGTTTGCCAAGTATTTGGTAAAACCCTCGGACCAGTTCACCGGTTCTTCCCAGTTTGATGCCCAGCAGCAGCAGCAGTTAGCGGGCTGGACACACGCTCGGCCTAGCTTCTCCCGCTAACACAACCCCTCCGCTACTACGCTTTAAATACAGCTTTAACACAGCCATCCGCTGCCGCAAACATCTTAATCTGAGGTATCAGTCGCCAATCATTGCGTTCTAGTAGTTAAACTAGCAACAAAACGTCTTTAAATGACATTAGAAGCCAGAAAACTGCTCTCCTGTGAAAATAACACGACTAACCTGTGTCAGTGACGGCCTAGGAAGAGACCGGATCCTCGCGAGAGTTGAATTAATCCAATCGCGTTGGTGCATTTAAGCATCGCGAGACTTACTAAGATAAAGGCGTAGATGAGATAAAGTATCGCGAGAGTAGCAGTAATAGTCTTGTTCGTAGTTGTCTGATGTCTGTGGTTTACGTTCGACTTCCCCAGTGAACCCACCATGGCAGTCTGTTGGTTCTGGTGATGTTTCGGTTCTGGGTTCCAGTCCGAACTTTACTCAGGAGGTTCTGCAGCTCTTCAGACATGCCTAAGACGAAAGGAAAGTTCTTCTACGCCGTGAGAAAGGGAGTGAAACCCGGAGTCTACGGGTCGTGGTGAGGGTCTTTCCGGTCAGATTCACCTGTTTGGGACATTAACTTTGATCAGAACCAGAATCCGATCAAAGCAACTTAAACGCCACTCTGAGCTAATCTCTTATTGTCATACTTGAAAGGGCACGACTCAGTAAATTACTGTACCGATTAAAATGTTTAATTTTCAATAATACAAAGCAAAGGCATCTAGTTCGCCCATAATAAAATGTTTGAAGTGTTTATATCTGTTCATTCTGGCTCAGAACTGATTAAAACCGGGGATCCTATCCGATATTAAGTCAGAATAATGTTTTCAGTCTGGTAGAAAGGCCCTCACAGCCTCCAAAACAGGAAGAGGTGCTGAAAGTTTAGTGGAAGAAAAAAGTGCGGTAATAAATCACTGGCTTAAAGGAAATCTGCAGATTTGAAGCCTGTTTAGAGTTTGTGGAAATGAGGAGGAGAGGAGACGACAGAGCATCACGCTTCCTTCAAAACCTACGAAATCCAACCGGACCTGGTACTGACTAAAGTACCAGTCACCATGGCAACAGCAGCCAACTAGCCACAAAGAGATGAGCTGAGGGCTGCTGTCCCAGCCCAGTTGCTATAGCAACCTGGCCTTCCCACGGTTCGCGGCAGAACTACAGACCAGACAGAGACGCTGGTTGCTATGGCGATTCCCTCCTTTACTGTGTAGATTACAGTTGCCTTTTGTATCTATGCTTCTTTTTCTATGTCTGCTTCTGTCTCCTTGAACCCCAGTGGGCCTCAGCAGATGGCCGCTCACACTGAGCCTGGTTCTGCTGGAGGTTTCTTCCTGTTCAAAGGGAGTTTTTCCTCTCCACTGTCGCTACAAGCATGCTTAGTGTGAGGGATTGCTGAAGAGTCAATGAGTCGATGCAATCAGCTGGTTTTCCTTAGATAGAAAACTTTGAATCAATCTGACTGGATGATCTGGTGAACTGGAAAGTGACCTGAGATGACATGATGTGAATTGGAGCTATAGAAATAAACTGAATAGAATCGAATTTAATGCTAATAAGAAGAAATTATCTTGAAGAGACATCTGGGATGGCGATGTTTTTGCGTTTAATCTTCTCACCGTTATGTTCTGCTGCGTGTCTTTTGGATTTCCTTGCTGATTTGACAAATGCCCAGCTTTTGGAGAGCATCTTCCCTTCTGTTTTAGTTGGGACATTCTGATGACTGAAAGTTTGTGTTTCAGTAGTTGTGAAACTTTAGTGTCTAAATGTAGATCTTTAAGGGTCTGCAGTGTTTCTGTATCTGACAGGTTTATCAGAACCTTCAGGTCCAGTTTCCAGAACCTTCCAGAGCTGATATCTGCTGGGAGTTCATGGCAGTGAGGGCGTGTCGCTCTCTCTGCACTCTCTGATCGATTCCTAACTGATTGTAAAAAAAAAAGCATGTTGCTATAGTAACTGGGGCAGGTAGTGAGCAGAACCGTCTGAGCTTCAGGAACATGTTTAGCAGCGATATAATGAGGACTTTGCTGGTTCTGGTTGTTTCAGGGATGAGTGTAAGGTCCAGGTGGAAAAATTTCCGGCTGCATCTTTTAAGAAGTTTGGATCAGAGCGAGACGCCTGGGCGTTCGTCCGAGGAGTAGAGCCGCCTGCCGTTCCGGACCAAAGCACAGGTGAGATGATCCAGATATCCGCTAACTGAGAGCCAGAAAACTAAAAACCTCCCCAGGTTCCGACCGTCAGAGGAAACTTCCTGTACCCGGTTCTCTGGAGCAGTTCTGATTCCGAGCCGACGGGTTCTGTTTCTCACCAGCGAGCCCGGCTGGAGAAACGGACCTCTGTCTGCTTCCCAAACGAGGTCCGGAGCCGCTGGAGTACATCCCGCTGGGAAGGAAGCGGCCGCACCCTGAGCAGGAGGCGGAACCTCAGGTTAAACGGGCCAAGCCGGTAGAGAGCTCTTCATCAGGAAGCAAAGACGGGTTCACCTACATGGGTACGATGATGATGATTGTTAGGATCTTCATCCTCCGCTCCCTCAGAGTCTGACCCTGCTGCTGTCCTTCCAGGCGACGCTGTGGTGGTCTACACCGACGGCTGCTGCTCGGCCAATGGACGGGCCGGGGCCCGAGCCGGCATCGGGGTGTACTGGGGCCGGAACCACCTGCTGTGAGTCCTCACACACAGACGCACCGGCAGGCCACTGCTGCTGTAGCTGAGAACTAACACGCTGCTGCTGTCGCTCAGGAACGTAGCAGAGCGGCTGCACGGGCGACAGACCAATCAGAGAGCAGAGATACAGGTAAGACCCGCCCACCATGTGGCCCCTCGGAAACAGATCCAGCTCTCTTGATCTCACAAAGGGCCCCAGAAACCTGTTAGGAGCCACATGTGGTTCCTGCATGGGTTCCGGTTGGGCCGGGTTATCGGACCTTGTTCTGGAGGGAAGATCCCCTTCAGGAGCTAAAGACCAACCATCTCTCAGGTTTGGTTCCGGAGACCTGAAACTAGATCCAGGAAATGCAGGCGTCCGTCCAATTAAAGGAGAAGTCATTATTTATACCTAAAACAATAAGTTCAAGGGGCGTGCAGGTGGCGCAGTGATTAGCGCGCATGACCCATGTACGGAGGCCTTAGTCCTCGATGCAGCTGACCCGGGTTCGATTCCGGCCTGTAGGACTTTGTTTCTCTCTCATATCCCCTTTCCTGTCAGCCTACGGTCAGAAAAACGAGCCACTAGAGCCAAAAAAAATAAAAAGAAACTGAAACTAATACGTTCGCAGTGATTGAATGAATTTAGCGTTAATCAGTAAATAAATTAAAACGATAATCAATAATGACTTCACCATTGAAATTCACCAGAATTAGCGAATCGGCTGTTCCAACCGAATTCACCGGAGTGGTGCTGAACTTTACAGTTAATAAATAAAGTGAATGTAATTGGTCGTTTATCAAGGGGGCGGGATTGTTGTGGCGGAAAGTTCGTAAGCAAGTTTAGTTGTGGCCGGTTTGTTGGAAGCATCTTGCTAACCAGTTAGCATCTTAGTGCTAGCAGATTCCCAATGGGAAATTCCATTGGGACCAAGTAGCACTAAATTGGTGACTTAGAAACGACGCTGTCAAGGAACGCTATGGACAGCGGAAACATGCAAGAGGAGGAGAGTTTAGTGTCGGAGGTCGTGGATGAGTCTCCTCCGTCATCCATTTTTTATTTAGAGGAGGAAAGCGGGGACGAAGATGTTGTGGAAGAGGACGCCAGGGCGGCAGAAGCTTGGTTTGGTGTAGAAGGCTTCCAGCCGTACATGTTTGAGCCCTTGCCTCGCAACGCTGCCAGTTCTGTTAGCTCTACGCCTGCCGAAGACACAGACGTCCATCCCCGTGAACACTGGGACGCAACTCAATGGGAAAGGAAAGGATTCTGGTTTCAACCGTTGCGTATATTAGCTGCGACACATGAATCAAGCTGCTATGACCGAAAACATTTGATTGACAGATGACCGCTGATATATGATTGGTTGAATTTAGGTGTTCAGGCTGACGTAGAACTAACTGGCCTGAAGAAGATAACGGAAAAAAAAAAGATTTTAAGAAATGTTCTAACTTTTGGGGCAATATTTACTGATAAAGAGAACATTTATATACATGTTTAAGCCAGAATGATTTATCATTTAAATATTATTTCCCTACGGCTTTAAACTGACATTTCCTTTAACTCACATTAATAGAACAAGGATGAATCCCCTCAATCCAGAACCTTCCAACCAGTGTAAAACCATCAGGTGGTGCCCTCTAGTGGTCATTTCGAGTTTCAGCGCTCTTTTAAGGGAAAAATCCGCTCATATTTAGAATTTAAACTTCTGAAAGTTCTTTAAATCTGAAATTATTCCATCCTGTTCAATAAATGATCAGTGTTTTTAATTCAGAGTCATTTTTATGTGAATGTGCTTTACTGGAGGCATCCATGTTTGTCAAAGGCTTACCGCACCGTGACGTCACTGCTGGAAGATGGCAGGAGGGAGGGGCTACTATATTTGGGAAAAAATGGCCGCTCCCAGACTAAGTGATCGCAATGAAAATAATTTTTGTCTTTTTACTGATTAAAGCCGAATTCATTAAATCACCGTAAACGTATTTGTTTTAGGTATAAATAATGATCCATTGATGATTCCTGGCTCACCGGATGGTTCTCGTTTCTTTGTTCCTGTTATAAATAAACTAAATAAATAAAAATACATTTTATTATTCATAGTTGAACTTTTTTTAAATCCAAAGAGCATCTGTTTTAGTTATAATGTAAGTTTAGCCGTTACCACGCTCTTCTTCTTCTGTCCTCCGTGAACCAGGCGGCCTGCAGAGCGCTGGAGCTGGCCAAACAGAACCACATCCAGAAGCTGGTTCTCTACACAGACAGCAAGTTCACCATCAACGGTGAGCCGCTCTCTGCTCCGTGGACCTGAGGAGCACCTGGAGATGACCGTCTGGCTTTGGTTCCGCAGGTGTGACCAGTTGGGTGAAGAACTGGAAGCTGAACGGTTGGAGGCTGAAATCTGGAGGAGAGATCACCAACAAACAGGACTTCATGAAGCTGGACCTTCTGAACTCGGAGCTGCAGGTGGTCTGGGTAAATATCAGCACCGGATCAGCAGGACAGCTTTTAGTCCCAGAGGTTCTAACGTGGGTCTGATGTTTTCTTCCTCTTCCTCCAGTTGCACATCCCTGGCCACTCAGGGTACCGTGGAAACGAGGAGGCTGACCGGCTGTCCAGAGAAGGAGCAGCCAAACCGCTGCAGGAGCCTGAAGAGGATCTGGGATAAAGCAGGACTTTGTTGTTTTACTTCATGTTTATCAGCAGCTGCTGCTTCTTTCTGAATGTTTTTATTTTCTGCTCGGGTTCTGTTGATGTAAAATTCTGAATAAAGTTTTGGTTTTCTTCTGATTAGAATAAATATATAAATATATATATATATATAATGTCGTTTCCTGCTGATGTCTGGAAGAAGAAAAAATCATGAACGGAATCAGGTAATTCCGCTAATGTCCAGCAGAGGGCGGTGGACTCACAGCTCTGAGATCAGCCCTGATGGAGAAAATGGAAAAATATGAAGGATGCTCTGATTTCAGAGGTCAAAGGTCAAAGCTGCTAATGAATCCGATTGATTTTACTTTTTAAAGTTTTTTATTTCTCCCTGAATCTTTTCATCTTTCCCTGTAATTCTATAAAATTTAACGAAAACCATGATCAGCAACCAGAGTTAGTTTCAGTTAAACACTGAAGATCATTCTGAACCAAATGCTTTCATGTGTCTTTACTCTTTAACTATACCTCCGTTAATTATACTTCCTTTATTTGAAGCTGCCTATTTTATTCTAATTAAAGGTAACTAATAAGTTTATGTCTTTATCAAATATTTAGTTCAAAATGGAAAAGAGTAATTACTTTTAGGAACAAAGTAAATTTTTATATTATTCACACAAAAGCCACTCTTACAAAATTGTTTAGTTTAACAATCTAAAAGTTATAGTTTGATTTTTAATATTATTTAAAAAGGTGAGATTTCTTCTTGTTTAGCCGGAAAATACTTAAAATTTGAAATGTCTTGATGTTTCTCTTAGAAAAAAAAAGACCATCGGTAAATATTAATCAGGTGTTTTTACAAAGTTCAAACTCTGCAGGACTGTTGGTATGGCAACCCATTTAAATTATTTTTTTACTTTTTAATTTCTATCTTTGATCCTTAATACATTTAAAGATGTTTATTGATGTCTTTTTCTGATATTTTAGAGATAAATGTTGTTTTCTTTGTCTTTGTTGATTTTCATACATATAATTTTTGGACTAATTCTGTTTTTTATTTACTGGTTAAAACAGTTTGGGCTTAAAGTGAAGAGAATGAGTGGAAGGAAAAAATCAATGTGAAAACAGTTAAATATGTAAAATAAATTAGAAAAGAGAGACAAAAAAAGCTGAGAAAACAGCAAAGTTTCTATAAAAAAACATTTTCGACTATAACATTAAAAAAAAGAATGTATAGCCTACATATATAAAACCGCTGAGAGAAGTGAACAGAGCCCAGAATAAATGGAATCTGTTTGGTTAAAGCTTAACGATCAGAACCAGAACCAAAGTTTTTCTGCTTCATGATCCGGTTGGTTCCATTGCTGCAGAACCGGTTCCGATCCAGATCATCCTGCGGATTCTAACGTCTCTAAAACCCAGGAGGAAAATATGGATCTAATGTTTAAACTTCTAGATCATCAGACTATAAGCTTACTTGAAGAATCCAACTGATTAAATATTTTAAGAAAACAGGGAAATTAATTACTATTGGTTATGGGTGCAGTTCCCCCTTCAGGCAGCAGGGGGCAGCCGAAGCTAAGGGGAGAAGGTCATTTTGAGCGATGAGATTATTTCCTTAGATGCTGTTTAAAGAATCTAATTTCATGAAAGATATTATTAGAAATAAAGTTTCTGATCATTTAATTTTTCATATAAAAAATTTAAGATTCTTTAAAACTGGATAATTAAAAATAAAAATGTTAAAACCGTTTTAACAAAGATTTATTCCTTTTAATTATATTATTACATTACTAATAAATTCCCTTTTCAGAACTTGTCTGACTCTCTGCTCTTAGAATTTGTTTAAAGCAAATTATAGTATTTTTTTATTTTTAAATTCTCATTTCATGTTTGTGTTTAATTCAATGTGTGGCTTAATTTTGCTTTTTTAAATTGATGACCTTTAATCTCTTTATATCAACTATTTCTATTCAATCATGTCTAATTTATTTTGTATTGCTTCTGCTGAAAAGTTAATTTCATTTATTTTAATTAAGCTTCACAGCTGAAATAAAAAGATCATCATTCTTTTCTGTTTTCATCTTGTTTTCTTAGATTTTACCAAAAATAATTAAATGAATTATTATTTTTCTTTTAACAGAGAAACCGGTTCAAATAATCTAACGTTCCCTGGAGCACAAAGATCATCGACGGTATGAGAAACTCAACATGCTGTAGAAAATGAATAATAAATGTCATAAATGAATAAAATAATCAATAAAAATCATTATGAGACGGTGATGAATTTCATTAAGCTCAGAATGGAAACAGAAATAATTTTAGAAACTTACAGAGAAAATAGAAACAATCTTCCTCAAAGAAAAATGAAAAACATGAAGAAAAACTAAAAGTCTCGAATTTTAAAAAAACTGGAAAATTAGAAACATTTGAAGATTTAAACCAAAATCCCGCTGATCTTGGATCAGTTTGGAGGAACAAAGAAAGCAGCTCTGATAAAACCATGACAACTCCCAGCAGCTCCCTGGGATCCCAGCGGGGGGGGGGGGTTAAGCTCTGCTTTGTGTTTGCAGAGTCTGACCACCCAGCAGGTTTATCCTCCAGGTTCGTTTCTAGTTCACAGAGCTTCAGCTTCTAGAATAGAAATGTCCGGTTCTGAGTTGCTCTGTGAGGTTCTGCTCTATGGAGGTTCGGACTCAGAAGTCTGTAGAACAAAGATGGGTTCAAGCAGGAAGATGTTTCTCTCCAAACTGACCAAAGAGCGAAATGTTCGGTCAGGTTCTGCAGCTTTTCAGGCCTACATTTCCCATGATGCATCAGAAAGCTCCGAACTCCAAGGATGGGAGAAGCTTCGGTCTGCAGGTTCTGTTTGCTCCCAGAAGTCCAGAAAGATCCTGGTGCTGAGCAGAACCAGCTGCTTCTCTTTAGGGATAAAAACATCCCAGTTCTCCTCTTTTTCAGGACCGACCCAGACTCAGCAGAACCAGAACCTGAGCAGAACCAGAACCTGAGCAGAACCAGAACCTGAGTAGAACCAGAACCTGAGTAGAACCTGAACCTGAGCAGAACCAGAACCTAAGCAGAGAAGATCCCGTGAAGCTGCAGCATCAGTTGCTCAGAGATCCTGGTTCTGATCCAGATCTTTAGCATCACGGTTCTGGTTCGGAAGTAAACTGACTCCTGATCCGAAAGGTGATCCACCTCAATATTCTGCAGCTTCTCTGTCCCACAGCATGATGCGGCCTCCACCATGCTTCACCTGGTTTCTGAAACCTTTGAAGAACTTGAATGGACCGGGTTGGACTGGGATGGGTTTACTGGTACCAGTCTGAAGTAAAGTTCTGCTCTGCGTTCTGTCGGTCTGGCACAGAAGATCCGGTTCGGTTTGTGGTTGAAACTGGACCAGATGTGGAAAAGATGGTAAAATGTTTTTCCTGGTTCTGTTTGTCTGAGGATCCATGGAGGTTCGGAGGTTCTGGTCAGTAGAACCCATCCGGACCAAAGCTGCAGCAGCTCTGAAACAGAGTCCCGGACCGGTTCGGTCTCCTGCCTGACGCGGCTCAGAGCACCTCCTCTCTGGACTCCGGACCCGCCTCCGACCTTCTTAAAGACCCTGGAAGCAGGAGCGGGACTCAGACCGACCCGCTGCTCTCAGCCTCCATGGACCGAACCGCGCTGTAACGAACCGAACCTGGAACTTTCTGACTCCTCCATTCTGCGCCATGCCGTCCGGCACCATAGGCAGAACCGGGTTCTCAGTACGGGACCTTCTGGACCTTCCGAGCCCCACAGGAGGCTGCGGCTCCGGAACCGAGGAGGAGAGCTCCGGAGAGGTTCCGGTGAAGGACCTGGGCCCAGAAGGAGGCCTGGAACCCGGGTTCGGTTGGAGCAGGTGGAGCCGCGCAGCAGGTCAGTTCTTCCTCTGCGGTACCGGTTCTGGTGCACATCATCATCATCATCATCATCATCATCATCATCATCATCATCATCATCATCATCATCATCATCATCATCATCAGAACCAGGACAGGTTTCATTGCTTTGGTTCTGGCTCATCTCTCTGTCTCAGTTCGGACCGGTTCTGGTCCAGAAAGTTTCTGAAAGTAATTAGAGTTTCTTCTTATTTCCAACTCAGACTCCGGAACCGACCGACCCACCGAGCAGTCCGCTGCTGCGCGGCTCGGTTCGGTCCAGAAGAACCACGGGAGGAAGCGCAGGGTTCTGTTTTCCAAGGCGCAGACCTTCGAACTGGAGCGGCGCTTCCGGCAGCAGCGGTACCTCTCGGTACCGGAGAGGGAGCAGCTGGCGGGCCTGATCCAGCTCACCCCGAACCAGGTCAAGATCTGGTTCCAGAACCACCGCTACAAGCTGAAGCGCGCGCGCGCAGAGCGCGGCCACGAGGCGCTGCAGGGACGCCGCCCCCCCATCCCGCTCCCGCTCCTGGTTCGGGACGGGAAGCCGTGCGAAGGGCTGGAGGTTCGGTCCGGCCTGGAGGTTCGGTCCGGCCTGGAGGTTCGGTCCGGACTGGCGCTCCATCTGTGCGCCTTCTCCCCGCTGCTGCGCGCCGCATGCGGCCCGGAACAGGCCGGAGCGCCGCAGCCGCTGGCCCACTTCTACCCATGGAGCTGGTGAGGTTCGGTCCGGACTGGTACCGAACATGACAGAACTTTCCCGTCCGGACTGCTGTTTGGATCCAGGACTCTGTGTTTGGGTTTTTGTTCCGGTTCTGTGAGCTCTCTGGTTCCTTTATTTATTTATTCTGTTTGTCAATCTGAATATTTATGAATAAAGTTGGAGTTTAATTCGGTTCTGACCCAAACGGTTCCGCTCAGTTTTATTTTATTTTATTATTTTATTAGTAATTAAAAAATCTGAAAAACGTCAGAATATTGATTTTATAAAAATGACCCGACATTTTTGATCAGCTGTGATCGGTTCTGAAACCAGTTTGGATTCGGATCAGCTGGTTTTCTGGACCCAAACCGGTTGCAGATATTCGGAACATTTCTGTTCATAAATCCCAAACTTCAAACAGTCCGAACCTGCGGGGGGCGGGGCTACCTGTACAGAACGGCCTCTGATTGGTTGATTGGTTTCTGCAGCGTTTTAATTCCACCTGATCTTTAATGAACCTGAAGAAATGGAAAATCTACAGAAGCAGGATGGAGAATCTGAGCTGGGATGCTTTAACTGCAGGTTCGGATCAGAACTTTCACCAGGTCCAAACTGCAGGTCTCCTTCCAGAGAGGTGAGGAGGAAGAGGAGGAGGCAGGAGGAAGAGGAGGAGGCAGGAGGAAGAGGAGGAGGCAAGTTCTGGTAGGAAACCGATTGAAGAAACATCTTCAATCATCAGGAGAGAAGCAGCTTCAGGACAGAGAGAAGAAAAACTAAATAGGGGAATTTGATAAATGATTTAAACATATAAAAAATATTTGTTATTCTAATCATAAACGATCAATGAAAGAAATTCTTATCAAGGTTCCTCAGCAGATTCTGTCATCATCCTCATGATTGTCATGTTTTTGATGATTATCAAGAACATGACAAAAAGAAAGAAAAACAGGAAATAAATTCTGAGTTTTTTTTATTTTTTATTTAAAACGATTCCACTGAAAACCAGATGAATCTGCTTTTTCGATTCATTTTATTAAAGTTTTACTACAAAAAACTATGTTTAGATCAGAGGTAGCCAATTAAAAATCAGCTGGTTCAGAATAAAGAAAATTATCAACCAGTAAAGATCAGGAGACATTTTTAATTATAATCTGTTACTTTAAACAGAATTAAAACCGAAATAAAAAGCAGCTTTAAGCAGCTAATCTCTGGATTAGAGCGCTGCGGGTGGGTGCCGTAGGTTCAAGCCCCACAGACTGCCACTCTGGGTCCCTGAGCAAGACCTTTAACCCCACACTGCTCCCATTAAATGCAGGGGGGATTTCTCCAGTGTGAGAATAATACATTTCAATTATCATTATTATGAATGTAAAAAATTAGCAAAATAATTTTCACGTTTCTTTCATTTAGTAAACTTTCTTTACATTGAATATATTTTTTCTCACATTTAGTGCCAAAAAAACTAAAGATTAATCTTTAACCGATTTAGTCTATGTCTAAATATTAATATTTTTTACCTAAATCTAAACATGTATTTTTTTTTATAAAAAATAAAATAAAAATAAGATAAAAAAAAGTTGTGTAAAAAAATAAATTAACATATTTTTTTAATTTATATTCCTGAAAAGACTGAAACCGTTAGTCGCTTTGCTAATTAACCACGCCCCCTAAGGGCCAAATTGTGCCAAAAGATGCTTCCCTAAATTGGCCCTTTAAAGGGGTGAGGGTAATTAGCTTATCTGCTAAACATTTAAAGATGAGGTTTAGGCTTTAGATAGAAAAAGTAATTCAGATTTAGAAATAAGATTAATATTTACACACACGCATGCAGAAGATGACTAAACATTTTTATAGATGCATTGGAAGTTGGACCTCCATGCTGCATAAAAGCATCAAAAACTCTTAGATAGTTGTTGAAATGTCTTCAAAATAAATAAATGAGTAAAATAGAATAATAAAAAACTTCCAATTGAAGCCTTAGAATTTAAACAGGATAATTGTTTCCGTTTCGTTTAAACTGGATGTAATTTCAGAAGCAGCCAGCAGATGGCAGCAGTGTGTAACCTTCCAGCCGCAGGTTCCAGTGGATCCGTTCTTTCCGCCACATCCTCACTAACAGAAGCAAAATTCTCCAAAAACCCTAAAGGAATCTGTTCCTCATCCCTGCAGAACTTCAAAACATTATCTGTTTTTGAGGAAATTATTCATTTTTCTGTTTCTGTTCGATTTAAAATGAAAATTATTCTGCACAAAGGTTTCTATTTATGTTATTATGATGACGTTTAATTCATTTTAGCATCATTTAGCGAACATCAAATTTTTGAGGTGATTCAAAAAGCCAAGGAGAAATTAAATGAATTTATTTCCCGTTTTTCTTTAAAAGTTGATTGAAATTCTTTCAGTATTTCTGGCTGCAGAATTCAGAATTGATCTATTTATCGTTGCTCGTCGTTTGCTGCCTTATCTGGGCTCAGCAGAGAATCCCAGACTTCCCTCCTGCAGGTCCCTGGACCTCGTCCCAGCAGAGGGGTCCCGTCAGCATCAGATGTCTGAGGCTCCTCAGTGGATTCTTCTAAATGCAGCCCTCCTCTGCCATGGGTCAGGCTGCAGAGACAATATTCTGTCCCCATTGAATCAATGGGGACAGAACCAGCCCTTGTCCCAGCACTGAACCCTGTGGAATCATCCAGAAACTCTGGGTCTGGGTTCTCTACCAACAGCTGCTGCTCCTTGGTTCATATCGGTCCAACCTCTGGAGAACTGACCGCGTTTGACCAGGACTCTCCCTCTTTATTCTGTTTCCTCAGTGTTTCGAGAGGTAGAGGACAGACCGTCCAAATAGAACATTAGGACAGGTGTCACTAGAACCACCGGGGACTTCCAGAGTCACAGTAGGACGTCTCTGTCCCAGGATGTCACAGTGCAGATGATGGAAGACAGAAAGACTGAAAGAAAGATGACATCCCTTCTGGACAGAGTCTCCCAGTCCTTTATTGTTGGACAATATTTCCCAGTCCTCTACTGCTGGACAATGTCTCCTAGTCCTCTACTGTTGGACAGAGTCTCCCAGTCCTCTACTGTTGGACAATATTTCCCAGTCCTTTACTGTTGGACAATATTTCCCAGTCCTTTACTGCTGGACAATGTCTCCTAGTCCTCTACCGTTGGACAGTCTCCCAGTCCTTTTTTGTTGGACAAAGTCTCCCAGTCCTTTACTGTTGGACAGAGTCTCCCAGTCCTCTACTGTTGGACAGTGTCTCCCAGTCCTTTATTGTTGGACAATGTCTCCTAGTCTTCTACTGTTGGACAGTCTCCCAGTCCTTTATTGTTGGACAAAGTCTCCCAGTCCTCTATTTTTGGACAGTGTCTCCCAGTCCCTTATTGTTGGACAGTGTCTCCCAGTCCTCTACTGTTGGACAGAGTCTCCCAGTCCTCTACTGTTGGACAGTGTCTCCCAGTCCCTTATTGTTGGACAGTGTCTCCCAGTCCTCTACTGTTGGACAGAGTCTGCCATTCCTTTACCATTGGACAGTCTCCTAGTCCTTTACTGTTGGACAGTGTCTCCCAGTCCTCTACTGTTGGACAGAGTCTGCTAGTCCTTTATTGTTGGACAATGTCTCCTAGTCCTCTACCGTTGGACAGTCTCCCAGTCCTTTATTGTTGGACAAAGTCTCCCAGTCCTCTACTGTTGGACAGAGTCTCCCAGTCCCTTATTGTTGGACAGTGTTTCCCAGTCCTCTACTGTTGGACAGTGTCTCCCAGTCCTCTACTGTTGGACAGTGTCTCCCAGTCCCTTATTGTTGGACAGTGTCTCCCAGTCCTCTACTGTTGGACAGAGTCTGCCATTCCTTTACCATTGGACAGTCTCCTAGTCCTTTACTGTTGGACAGTGTCTCCCAGTCCTCTACTGTTGGACAGAGTCTGCTAGTCCTTTATTGTTGGACAATGTCTCCTAGTCCTCTACCGTTGGACAGTCTCCCAGTCCTTTATTGTTGGACAAAGTCTCCCAGTCCTCTACTGTTGGACAGAGTCTCCCAGTCCCTTATTGTTGGACAGTGTTTCCCAGTCCTCTACTGTTTGACAGAGTCTCCCAGTCCTTTATTGTTGGACAATGTCTCCTAGTCCTCTACTCTTGGACAGTGTCTCCCAGTCCTTGCATAATGCTAGTAGTTGTTTAGCGACAGCTGGCTGCGCCTAACAGGCGCCTCCACAGATCCTTCCTAGAAGCTGCTGCTAGATTCTAGAACCTTCTCTGCTCCAGGAAACACCAGCAGCATTTAGCTTCCAGCTGATGATGGATTTTTTATTCCTTTTTCTGTTAAATAGTCTGTCGCTGTTGTTTAAGCGCAATTATACATAAAATTTATTTACTGTTTCAGCCTGAGTCTGATATTTCTATACCTGTACAGCCTCTTTCCTTCTGTGGTCAAAGGTTCCTTTTTGCTGCTGAAACACCTGAATGTTCCCAATGTTTGAAAATAAAGACAGTTTCTCTAACTAAAGCAAAAACACACGACTAATGCTCAAAATGTCAGACTGACTTCTACGTGGCTCCAGCCTCTGACGTTTTCCTTCTGTTGAAATATTTGTCTGGTGTTAGATGTGCTTTTCATGTGCTGAGTTTTTTTTTTATATCTCAAACTGTTTTCTGTCAAGAATAAAGTGTGAAATATGCCCCCTATATTTCTATTTTTGTGTTTATCTGCATGCTTCTGTTTGCTTCCACTCTGCTTCCGCTGAATTTCCACACTTAGAGGAAATAAAGAAAATGTCTTTTCTGTTTTGTTCTTAACATCGCTGTCAGTTGTCAGTTCTAAGCACCTAAAACATCATACATCCATACAGGGAAAGAAAGAAGGCACAGAGATAATTAATTTAGTTTTACTCGTGAGGAGAGCAGGAAGAGACTGCAGAGTTTACAGATCTCCATCCCACTCTGCCGGTCTTCAGTTTTCTCCTCGCTATTTATTAAAGTCAGAGGGGGGTCCCTAGTTACACAAGCTGAGGTTGCGCTAAAGGAATAGGAAACAAGAAATACAATTCGATTAGCAGCCTCAGTGAACAGGTCAATTTGCATTTAAATGTCTTGCGGTTAGGGTTAGAAAAGCTCCTGTTTCATTTAGTTTGTCTTCGTTGCTGTTTATGACTTAGAGTTAGACAACTTTGACATTTTTTTATACACAGAGTGTATGAAAA